GACATCTTACTTGCCGTCTGGTTACACTGTCGTCATACTTTTCCCTATTCGTCCACGCGCGGTCGGTCTTCATCCCGGTACACTTCTAACTCTGCCTGTGCGTAGTCCGCGTCTGGGAAGTGGTTTTGATAGCGGAGCTATCTGTGGATAATCAAATTGATTCTAGCCTTGCATCGGCGGTTAACCCAGAGCAATCCGGCCAATTGCAAACTACTTCATCACGGCCCGGATTAATTGTGCAATGAGGTTTCGTCAAACGTATAGACCAATGTGATTCGTCAAAGCGTTGTTTCATCTGGTGCGTTTATAATAATAATAATTATTATAGTTTCAAGAATTATAATAGAGTGCCTTCCAAATGTGCACAAATCCGATCATCAACACACAAGCTACCTGAACAGCAGCTCCTTCTGCTTCCACACATGACGCAATACTGATCTTACCCAGTCGTTAGACGTACTGCGTTTGACGAGATAGGAATGAAGTAATTCCTTGATTGACAGCCACTCATCAGGGGGACGTGATAGGAAATTTGTGCCCACTGAGCGCACATTGGGGAGCGAGATTCAATGAATGTGACTGATTGGGATTTGCTTTGGTTTTTCTATTCGGATAATCATGAGTTTCTACTAAGCGATTTCAAATGCGTGTACAAGTTATTCAGGTGTCAAACCAGCGTAGAGAAAAATGAAGCTGATTGTTGTAGGACTAAGTCGATAATGAGAAATCGATAAAAGTTGGGGGTCGCTGATTATTGAAATGCCACCAAGTTACCTAATCTATGTAAGCGGTACTTTGAATGTTCCGAGTATCCGTGAACTTGGAGCTCGACACTAACCACACGAGCAATTTCTCTAGTCCAATTGTTTGTTGCCTAACGCCAGAACGTCATCATCAGGCTCGTGAGGGTTCATGTACAAATAGTGAGCCCATCAAAGGCCCTTGCTATCGTTCCGGAATAGGTTCGAATCAGTGTGTTTAACTAGAATCAGTACTCACTTTTGTGAGTATTTGTGCACTCACAGAGTAGTAATTGATGGATTTTCACGGAATCTGGGAGTGGATTTGGTGATTAATTATTGTCACCATAGACAAGGTAGCAGACTGTCGTGTTTACGACCACCGATAGAAAGATTTTCCTGAGAATGCTGACCAACTGTTACAAAATTGGATGGCATCCTCAACCCATCACTATATTTGTGGATTCGTAACACACGTACACTTTGGCATTTCTACTCAATCGGTGCGTTTATGAGCCAAGACTTATTCCAATTTTTATTACGATATTTTCCAGATAATTTTCGATGATATAATTTGCACACATTTCCTTCCTTTCTATAACTTCCACGTTTGGATTTATTTCCAAATTGGTTGCGGTAATTTTCGTCCTCCACTTTGTGTTGAATGTCCCAATTGATATCCTCGCACACATTGAATTGATTGAAAACGTATTATTAGTGTGTCTTTTACTGTAGTGAAAATATGCTCATCTGGTCATGTGGACCTAACCGATCTGATTTGTGTCTTGTCCAAACTTTCACCCCTGACCCTTTCGCAGAATGTCTCGAGGAGATGGGTTCGCTGATCGAGCGTTTCGGTATCAATATTTGTCAGCCTTCGGTCCCGGTTGCATTGAAGGCAATCGCTCAGCAAATCGGGGATCGGGACAGTGGGGTGCGTTCAGCAGCGTTGAACGCTCTGGTGGCTGCGTACTGTATCACGGGTGAACAAATATGGAAATTGATTGGATCTGTAAGTTCACATCAATCGTGAATATCCGGTTTTGGTTTACCATCCCACTGGGATCAACTTTCAAAATCGATATCATTTCTTTATTCATTCGTTCAAAGCTTTAAGTGATTGGATTTGTGTTTCCAGCCGCTCTGATTTGTTCAGCAATGATGTATGTTGGTGTTGGAGGGTTCTCCGAGCTATAAGTGTTTGCAGGTGATTCATAGGCTAATTTGCTATTTCCCCGAATTCGGAGGGCTACTTTAGTAGGTTTCGTGGATGAAGTCACCTAGCCTGGTTACGTAACGTCCTCTAAGAACGATTTCAGTTTGGAGAACTCTTCCATATTGATATCTTCATCGCGATCAGCAATCATTTAACATTATATGCAAAGATGAATGATTTTTGCGCTGGTAACCGAAAGCTTCATTATGGTTAGTGTAGGCGCATGTTATTGCGGCTGGTTACCTTTCTCTTGTACCTCATCAAGTGCTCCCATATGACCCAGCCTCTCGAATAACCTCTACTGATTAAGCTCTGCTCATTGCCTTTGGGTGGTGGGGGTATTTTTACAAAGCCAATATGGGAGGCTGCAACCTGATCCTTCACCTTGAAACCCTAATTGAAAACCAACCAGCCAAGAGGTGTATAAATCACGCACATCTTTCTGGTTTTGGCAGTAGCCAAGGCCTCAGTTAGTTATCATCTTGAACGTTTGTTTTCATATCCGCATCCAATGATCGTCTTCTACCAGGGAACTATTAAGCTCCGCGTTTCTCTATCAAGGG